CTGGCCGCCGCCAGGAGGAGCAGGGCCGGCGGCCGTGTCAAGGCATGGAGGGCCACGCGGTTTTCCGTGTCCTTCACGCCGGCCTGTGGGCAGGAGGGGTGGCTCAGCCATCCAAAACACTAGGGCCTCCTAGAGAGAGGTAGACCCTGCCCGGGGTGGGGCGAGGGCTCCCCAGTGGGAAGGGAAAGCAGCACAGTCCGATGGTCACCAGTGTGGCACGCTGGGTGTGGAGTGAATGAACGAGAGTGAATGATGGATGGAAGCATGAATCAGGAGCTGTGGGGCACTCAATTCAGTAGCAATGCCACAGTGAGGCGCCAGGGAAGTAGGGACAGGGAGCCTGCCTCAGGCTGGAGTGGAGGCTGGAGGGGGGCTGCTAGCCTAGACTGGGGGGCTGGCTGTGCTTTGAAGAGCTGGGGTCAGAGGCACAGAGCTGGCTGTTGCGCTGGAGTGCCGGGCCCACTGGAGATGCGAGACTAGGGAGGGCGTTAGTGCTGCGGTCCCAATAGGGCTGGGGGGTGAGCCCCCGGCTGCCACACCTGCTGCGGTTCTCAGCAGCACCTGGAGCTGCTGAACACCTTCCCGGCCCCCAGGGCGGCTGAGGACCAGGAAAAAAAGATCCCGCTCCGGGGGTTCAGGCTGGCTCAGGTGGGTGGGAGGGGGTGGCTGAATCCACTTGCAATGCCCCCCACTCCAGCCACTCCCAGGCCCCCTGGGGCCCCTGCCTCTCACCTTCAGCATCTCCAGCACCAGGGGCTTCTCATCCTCCCTCATCTCCCGCACTGACAGGTGGCTGGGGGCCATGGCAGCCCCCAGGCCCCCGCCCCCAAGAAGGGAGCTGGCGTCGTGCACCTGGTGAGAACACAAGCAGGTCAGCGCCAGGGGGGCACCTCTGTCCCCAAAGCCCCCCGAGGGGTGGGGAGCAGCAGCAGCAGCACTTCCCCATCAGGACAATGAGAGCCCTCGGGACAAACAAGCGAGGCTCTGGGCAGGACAGGCGCCCCCCACAATACTCAGCGACCTTGCTAGTCTCCAGGACCCCCCTCCCCCGTATTGCTCAGCGATCTACACTCCTAAACACGCTGTGGACGCCCACGCTTTGCAGCACGCGGCTCCCTCCCAGGCACGGGGCCACGAGCCCCCTCCCCACATGCTGGAGAACGGACCACGCTCGCTCCGCCCCGGTCCCCAGCGCCCCCTCCCCCACAGTCGTCCCCGTCCCGCGCCACAAGAACAAGGACCCGCAAGCACCTGCACGGGTCGCCTTTGGTCCTTTGACAGGGTTTCGGGAGCGGGTCTGGAGGGGGTCGCCGGCGGAAGTGACGTCAGACCGCGCGCGCTGGGGGCGGGGC